ACGGGTCAGTCACATAAACCCGAATATCTCCCGAACTACGTATGCCATCCTAATGAAGCGAAGACTGTTCAATTGAGAATTTAATTATACAGATAAAAAATAAAATAAAACTTAAATCTAAACTCTCTAACTCTTAACTTATCTCTAAATTAAAAAAAAAACTAAAGTAGTCATATTTTTCTTAAGATTACATTTTTTTATGATGCTGTACACCAAATTTCGGAGCCGGTGCTGAGGAATACCTTCCCATTCCTCCACCAGTGCTTGTTTGGGTTTCGACCTTTCACGCATCTCTGAAGCTCGTCCCAGGCGTGCTCGATGGGGTTTAAGTCCGGGCTTCGCGCTGGCCACTGCATGAGTTCGATACCGACCTCTTCAAGGTAGTCATGTACAATTCTGGCGGTATGGGGACGCGCATTATCATGCATTAATATGCCATGCCGGTCCATCCTGGCCGTGAAAGGACCTACATGTTCATTGAGGATCTCTTCCACGTACCTCTCTGCATTTAGAGTTCCATTTTGAATGAGTACCAGCTCGGTGCGGGCCTCATTAGAAATCCCAGCCCAAACTTGTACGGAGCCTCCACCGTACGCCACTTTTTCCTCCACACACGCTTGATGGAAGCGCTCCCCTGGTCTTCTGTACACCAACTGCCTACCATCATGCTTATAAAGCATGAATTTAGACTCGTCCGTGAACATTACCCTAGACCAATCGTCTAGTGTCCAGTTTGGGTGCACGTATCTCTGTCTTGCAATTCGATGTCCCCGTTCCAGTTTGGGGCCATTTGCGGGCCTCAATGGTTTCAAATATGCTTCAGCAAGACGTCTTCTTACTGTTTGAGCGCTTAAATTGCCACCTCCAAAGCGAATAAAGTGAGTTTTTAGACCAACAGCAGTTTGAAAACGATTTCGGAGCATTGTAGCCACCAGTTGTCTGTCTTCCCTGGCCGTTGTGCATCTTGGTCTGCCATTTCCTGCTGTTGTCCTGCGTAGTTTGCTCCCTTAGTCGGCTCTTACGACACTCACGGGATGAATAGGGGGTGCTGAAATTCCGTATTCTTACTACTTTCTTATTAATTGAAGTTAAAATTATAACTGTTAGTTATAATCAATGTAATATTTGCATGCTCTACCTGAGGCGGAACATTTTGTATTCTATATATGATTAATAACTTTGATTATTGTTCCTGTGAATAAATGAGTATTTGATCTATGCTATTCTATTATAAAATATTAAATTTTAGATAAACTAAAATGTTTTTCTTCTTATTTTCACCTATATATGAACTTCGGTGTTGGCCGTGATCTCTAGTTCATACACGTTATTGATAAAGGAAAAACGCCTAAAGCTAGCCCCGCCATTGAGCTACTCAAGTGAATCTGATCCGGAAGTTTCAGTCAATATGATTAGCTCTTTCTTTGCGAACATTGGCTGTGACCTGGCCTAAAAACATGTTAACGATCCCCTAATCATAAATGCCTCTACACGAGACATTTACCCGCCTAACTCACTTGTACTGTTACCAACGGATGAATTCGAGGTAGTAAGCATTATTCATGGTCTACGTAAGGCCTCTGTAGTGGGTTGGGATGGCATTTCCTCACTTGCTACAAAGATGCTCTCACATTTTAGTCCCTCCCATAACTCATATATGTAACGTTGCTATCGAAACAGGCGTTTTTACTACAATTTTTAAAAAGCCTATCGTGCATCCAATTTATAAAAATGGAGATAGAGACAATGTCAACAACTACAGACCTATATCTGTCTTGTCTGCTTTATCGAAGATCTTTGAAAAAATCTGAATGTGAGACTGACGAAATAACAAGTCAGAATATCTTAGCGAGCAAAAAATTCGGATTTACAAACAAACAAAAAATCTACAGAGGAAGCCGTAGCATCTCTTGTAGACAATGTAATATACAAGATGGATAACAAACAGAAGTGTATTGGCATCTTCCTTGACCTCGCCAAAACTTTTGACACTGTCTCTATTTCCTAACTAATTACTAAATGGACAAAATGGGCATTAGAGAACATTCTTTGAAAATATTTGAATATTATCGTAGTAGCAGAACACAATGTGTTAAGCTAGGTTAATTAATTAGTAAGTGTGTTTCCCTTAGTTACGGCATTCCTCAAGGCTCAGTTCTTGGCCCAGCACTCTTTTTAATTTATATTAACTCACTCTGCAACCTAAGCATACCAAACTGTCTATCTATACTTACGCCGACGACACAGCCCTACTTGTCCACGGCTCTAGCTGGCCTGAGACGTTCTCTTCAGCTGAGTATGCTTTAAGGAGTATGATACTCTGGCTCTCAAGCAATATCCTAACTCTTAACATAAATAAAACAATGTACATGACCTTCACACTCACGTCCAGTACACGACCTAGTTCAGAGACATTTATGTTAAAGGCTTACAATTGTCAACCTTATAGCAATGAATCTTGTAACTGTCCAGCCCTAGTTAGGAGCGATAACATTAAATACCTCGGCATAATAATTGACAAGCTTATATGCGTCTTCAAAAAACTTTGTCACTCAGCAGAACATGATATTCTTAAAATGGTCTATAAACCACTCTGCCAGTCTATTGTGTCATACTGTATATCCGTTTGGGGAGGTGCTTCCAGAACGATCTTACTGCCGCTTGAACGCGCACAACGAGCAGTACTAAGACTCATGACCTGTGAACCTTTTAGATATCCTACCACTCGCTTATACAATTAATGCAAACTTCTCGCTATTCGTAAAATCTCTGTGCCCCAAACGGTACTACGAAAACACAATACTGTAGAATTTAATCCAGAAAGCCATAACACACGCAGACCGTATAGAGTTTGTCCAACTGTCACTTTCAAAAGCGCACTTGCAAAGCGGCATTTTGTGTTATAGCAGGACATCTTTACAACACCATAAATAAATACTGCAGTATATATATCATCTTTCAAAATTACAAATTACAAAAAAAATTTACACACACCAATACATATCACACGCTTATAACTCACTAGCTGACCCGCGCAACTTCGTCTGCGTCTCTCAATAGTAATAAATTTTCTCCGTTTTTGAAACATTCTTCATTGGTGCTCCGCTCCTATTGGTTTTAGCGTGATGATATATAGCCTATAGCCTTCCTCGATAAATGGGCTATCTAACACTGAAAGAATTTTTCAAATCGGACCAGTAGTTCCTGAGATTAGCGCGTTCAAACAAACAAACAAACAAACAAACAAACAAACTCTTCAGCTTTATAATATTAGTATAGATTCACACATTCATGCAAACTTACGCGCAAGAATATCGAAAAATGTTTTATAATATAGAAAATTCATAATGAATGTTAGTTTTGGATGAGAGAGGGACTGGTACCCACAACACAAGTTTAATCTTACCGTAGGTACCAGAGCCTGACTATGCTGTGTAATTAACTTAAGAAAGTCCTCTTATATTAGAAAATGTGTACCACATTTGACGGTAATAAATATTATTATTATTATTACTATTAAAAAAAAGAAAAATATATAACATTTTATTTAGATTAATATATAATATTTTATTTAGATTAATAATAATTTGTTACTAATGCTCGTCGGAATATTTTATAATTTAAAGATTTCTAAAACCAAAAATATTTATTAAAGAATTTACTCACTTGGATAAAACCAACACTAATACTACTACTAACAACACTATAGAAATAAAGAATATGTTTAAAAATATCTAAATATACTTTTTATTTCTCGAGATAAGTGTGATTTTTAAAGATTTTTGTATTGACCCGAAAGTAAAATAATACATCAAGCCAAGCCATCATCATATGCAGTCAGCGCATGACTGGAAGGATGGATCAAGACAAACTGCCACCCATTACTTATAACGGTGAATTCCCTTCAGTCCCTCTGTTAAGAGCCTATTTATCGACTCCAAGCTCAGCTGGCAAACCCAGGTCACCAGCGTCAGCCAGAGAGTCACAGGTACGCTACGGGCCTTCTATCGGCTTAAAAACTTCCTTCCCTCGTAGACAAAAGCGATGCTTGTATAGACCCTTATTGTCCCTATTTTGCATTATGGTGATGTATGCCATTATGACATGAATGCAGATCAATAAATATGACCGCCTTCTGAATAACTGCATTCGATTCGTCTTTAACCTTCGCAAATACGATCATGTTCCTTCCTCTCATCGCGAATTGAACTGGCTCACGATTCGTTGGCGCCGTCAGCTGCACGCCCTTACCACCCTCTCAACTCACCTATTTCCCCTTCCTACTTGACATCCTCATTTCAATTTCTATGTTCCAATCACAATAGAACTGAGACTTCTGCGTGTGTCCACTCTTCGTTCCTAATTCCTAAAATGTATGTATGTAACTCAGCAAGTATATCTGTGTGTATATCTCAGTATGTATGTGAATGCTGTCACAATGGTGCTGTCCATATCCTTAATTATTATTATCTCGTTACATATAAAACTTAATTTCTAGTGCACCTACTGAGACATTTCCCCGCCACCCAAAGGTAGACTAGAAATGCCTGCTGTGTTTGTGCAAAAAGAATAAAAATAAAATCAAATAAATCACCCTCCCATAATTGGTCTGAAATATATAAGTACTGTTCACTGTGTTTTAAATGAAAATATAGCGATAATATTGGTAATCTGGTCACGTTACCTAAATTTGCTATCCGGTGTCCGGCCAAGTACTCGCTCACTATAATATGAGGCCATGTCTTATTAATATTACCGTTTCATCTCCAATGTCAATCTACATTGATATTTTTTTCATTCGTTTCTGTGGTCAGACAGATTGTTACTTCAAATTTAGATATATTTTCCGTTCAGAAACTCATGAAATAAAAGCTATAATGGGTTTATTTTATATTAATTTATAAATGAATGGTGTAGCCACATGTATGGATTGTTTTGGATTTTACATTATAAACAATTACGAAAGTTTCATGAAAGGATGTTTAAAAAACTTAACTTTCTTATAAAGAGGATCCCTTTTTTGTAGTATCTTCTAGTGGCTGCTTCTTTTCTAAGCTTTGTACATCGTTCGGCGAATTGAGCTGCACGACAGCCTGGAATATGGCCACCTGAGGTTGTATGCTGTGTCGCCCATTAAGTTGACTAGACAGAATGGATGGGGCTAGCGAAAGTCTTGGAGTGAAGCCGTCCTGAAATAAAATTAATGTAAGTTTTATTTATTTAGTAAATGTCAATTAAAGTTATTTCTGTACTACTTAACTTCCTATAGCAAAACACTTTTATGCCAAGATTTGTTGATTGTATCAAGAAATGAAAAGGTTTTTTAAAACAAACATAATAATTTGTTAAACTTATCAATTTTCAAATGAAAACTATTTTGAAAACTATGTGCAACAAGACAAGCAAGCGCTCGTAATAGAGTACCTACTAAATATTTTGATATTTACTCTTAGTTTTTGCAAAAATAAAAATGATCACTTTTTGAACAATCAGAGTTTAATGACAAAGCGGTTTTCGAACACATCATTCAAGATTCGTGATTCACATAGCAATACACTAAAATACACCTGAAGCTTGGTCATTCAGGCAATTTATGGGTATATTGCCATACATAACCGATTAGGCGTTAGAGGTAACTAATCTATAAATACAAAAATGTTGTTGGTTTGAGTACGCTTCAAAAACTCAAAAAATCTACTCCGAATGAGCTCAATTTCGTCACGACATACAACACACTTTAAAGATGGCTTTTATTTATTTATTGCAACCACAATATGACACAGCGAAGCGTGGCAGTTAACAGCTACTAGGTTATAAATTTAATTACGGACTATCTGTAGACTGTGTATATCTTGTGTCGATCACAACGTCATGACCGATGGTTGGTTTTGTAAAACAGTACAACAAGCTTCATGAGCGGGTGCACTAATAGAATAAATAATAAAAATAATATCTTTATTTGCATTAAGTTGTACAATAAACCACTTACAGTTAAAACTAAATAGGATGAGAATATTACACGGTAAGTAGTATGTTGTGACACTGATACCCAAAGTAAGATTTAACATGTGTTATGGGAATCAAGATTATTAAAAAAAAAAAGAGTTTTCTTACTTGCAAGAGCTAGACGAAAGCCATATGCTTTAAAAAGGCTTACGATATTAAATTAAATCTCTCAGAAGTCGTAGCCAATAATAATCAACCGTAAGTAAATTGTGATATTTGTATATCACAATTTACTTACGTTGTAGTTTATTTGTGTAAACTACAACGAATAAATTTTAAATTTATACAGATTGATTCACAGTTGCAAAAAGTTATCTAACAAAACAAGGCAGACGTTAGCAGTATTTCCTCTACACGTAAAGCGAGTTATTTTCTTTTCCGTTTCCGTTTTTTTCTAATAGTTCGGTGTATTGTTGAAAAGGTCTTTAAACAACTATAAATTCTAATTTTTGTTAAACTGTCCCCTGACATGTTAATCTGCTTGCTTGAGTGTTCTAAAAATCAAGAGGGTAATGTAACATACATATATATGTAACGGATTTAGGAAGAAAAGTATGACTGCTAAGTTAACTCTTTTAGTTAAAGAGTAATAGTCGTCCAAATTATCAAGTAGAATAATATCACTTAGATTAACTGGTTACTTGTTTACAGGTAACGGGTAGAGGTAAACCTTGAAACCCTACACTGCACGTGGCCCGACACCCACTTTGTCGGTTTTTTATAAGTAAAACGAAAAGAAAAACAATTTTAATTGGTTATCAAGTACCATTATTAATACATGGTTATTAATTCTTGTAGGGGTGCTCAAAAAAGAGTAATTTTTTTCAGCGATCATATATGTTTTATACCACCATAACTTCTTAATGCATGAACAGATTCCAATGTATTATATATACTTAGTATCTTTACATCATTTTGAATGACATCTGCTATAAATTTTTGAAAAAGAAAACAATATGTCGTCAGTGTGGCGCGTCTTTTTTCAAGAAATTCCATTGAAACGAATTATTAGGTATTATTTTTTTACTGGAAAAGCACTCCCGGCCTGTAGTCTTTAGATAACCAAATTATACCAGCATATATATGTCCATATATATGTACCAGAATATGTGTCGAAGGTTCGTGCTTGTCATGCCTACGTCATAAAAAGGCCATGTCTATTATGTGTGGTTAAAAATTTATTTAAAATAAAGATCTAGGGGCATTTCATAACACTGAAGATAAATGTAAGACATCTGGAGCACCAATGGAGGTCTAAAAATTCAGATTCAGATCAATAGTGTCCAATAACTTGGCGTTCTCATTGACAACCATTTGAACTGGCATGTGCACATAAGTACCCTGACTTCCCGTGTCCGCAAGCTTATATGTGTCTTCAAAAAACTCCGACACTCAGCTATAAAGGATACTCTTAAAATGATCTATTAGTCACTCTGTCAGTCCATAGTGGCATATTGTATACCTATCTGTTAAGGGAGGTGCCGCCAGGACGACTTTACTGCAGCTCGAACGGGCTCAAAGCCGTTTTAAAGGTCATGTTATGTAGACATTTTAGATATCCCACCACTCTGTTATACTCTGAATGCAATGTCCTCACTGTCCGTAAAATGTATGCGCTCCAAACAGTTTTACGTAAACATAACACTCAAAAATACGATCCAAAAAGACATCACACACGCAGGTCTTATAAAATTTGTCCTGCAGTCACATGCGCATTATCGCAGTTCATCTTTACAACACCTTAAACAAGCATTGCCAGATTCATCACCTTGCGAAAAGACAATGCAAAACCAAAGTAATGACCTGGTTACTTGAACAGGATTACGACACAACCGAGAAGTTAATGAGACTCACAATGCTATAGAATTAAACAGACACACACACACACACACACATAGAGAGAGAGAGAGAGAAAAAGACACACACACGCACGCACGTACGCGTCTTATCATAAGTCTACAACTGTGAGAAGAACTGGAAGAACTGGAACCCATGGAGTTAAATCTTACAATGGGTGCCAGAGCTCGACTGCTTAAGTTTTCACTGATGCTGTTGTGATAATATGTATGTATGTAAGCATTGTACTTCTTTTCTATGTCAATAAAAAATAATTATTATAATTATTATTAACTAAAGGTGCAGTGAAGTGGCAAATTAACCACGAGATGCACGTGCCTGGAGCGGAAGATCGCTAGAGGCGGCAGTCTAGTCGCGAGTAATAATCTAATTTTTACGTTTTATTGTTACATTTTGATAAATCCGTCAGCATGACTGTATTTAAATTTCAAGGTACGCCTTTGACGCAGTGCATAGGGTGACACAGTTGTTTTCTCACAAACACAGAGTCAAACTATTATCATTTAAATCTAAAGAATTAAAACTAATTAAATTTTAGGTACTTACAACTTTGCTAATCTTAACTTAATCGTTGTTAAACATACATATGACTAGATATACATTTCAAAACATATTTATAATGTAATCAGTATTATCAGTTAATTTAGGAGACAATAATACCTCATTAATACATCAAGCTGATAGCCACGACTCATTACCGTTGCCAACAAAAATAATACTTATTTATATGAGAATTGCAAGATTTGCCATTCCACTTAAGCATAATTTATATAATGCGCCTTTGCACAAGTTACTACTACAATAACTATTTGTAACAAATTCACATTTTCTAATTTATTGATTTAATGATTTAAAGGAATTTAAAATATTTATCATCCATACAGCATTTCTACCCTCTTTTTTTTTTCCGTGCGGAAATCCCCTCGGATACCACCTATCGGTGGCATTTCGGACTCGAACCGACTAAAACCGCACGCCGTCTCGGGTACTAATAGCCGGGGAACCAGGTATACCCTAGAAAGGACCCTCTAAGATTTCTTGATGTCATTGAACCCATTCCAATCCTGCGTATATTAAACATAATATTTTGAAAGAGTTTGATACAGTGTGTGCATGTATTAACTTATGAATTTGTTGGATTTAATGTAATATAGATGCAACGGGTCTCTGAAATTGCTTAATAAATCATCAGATATAGACGTACAGTGATAATACAGTAGTTGGCCTGTTTTAACGTGTAGGCCCTGTGTGCGTACTTTTACATTCAAAACTGACATTCCACACAAGCGAATAGTCCTATATAGAGTAATATATGAATGCCATAATAGCGAGAAGCACAGGTAACTTCAGTTGTGAAATATCTCTTACTAAATTTCTTGAGGAATTGAGCTTCAATGTTTACTGTTCCCTGAATCCATCTGACGATAGCTATTGAATTCCATGGTCAAAGAGAATGTAAATAGTCTTTTCTTATCAATAGATTAAAGTTATTCAAATAAACAACTATTCACTGACTAATCTGTCCTTTGCTAAAATATCGCGACGATTTTAAACCGTCGAAGAGCCATACTTAAAATGGGCCGGCTCAATCGGAGTGATAACAAAGCCTTACAGAAAATCGGTGTTAAGCAATTATTTCGTTGCTTTTAACCGAGTGAATGAGATTACCGAAGCCAAAACCCATCTTCCCTGTTTATGGGGGAAATCTCAATGGACGGCAATGCACTTGCGATTTTTTTTAATATTTTTTATTTATTTATTCAGTAACAATAAAAATTGTGTTTGCGTAAAATGCTTACATGTTAACTTAAGTTTCTAACGAATTTAATTTATATAATGCAATACAAATAGATAAATATAAAAACAAACACATGAAGTCAAAAATTCAATGTCATTAAAATACTGTCAAAATTGTGGTTAGGTAATTGTTGTCTCCGGGTTTATTGTGTAATACCAATATGAATGTCGATAAAATACCGGGGGGGATACAATTTATAAAATTTGCAATTTTTCCACATCCATGAATAGACCATTCACTCAATGCTCAAAACTCTTGTACTCAACGCACGGTTGTCAATGTGCAGCGGTAGTCAATTACCATCAGGTGACACGTCTACTCGCTTAATAATATAAGTCTATACCACGCTTTCAGATTAATTACAGTGATGATCTAAATTTTCACAAACTGAGTATTTCTAGAGGGGCCAATGGTCAGAGTTTTGGATTATAACTACCTTCGGTTATGTTTTGGAATTTGACAACCACATGGGGCCAAAATTTGACTGCATAGAAGGCGTAGTGGTTTAAGCAGTCCCCTTGCTGCTTACTATTACGCTGAGTGTTGTGGGTCCGATCCCCACATGGGACGACACTTTGTGTGATCCACAAATTGTTGTTCTAAGTCTGGGTATTCTTGGTGTCCGTTTCATGTATATTTGTAAAGTCCCCTGCGACACAGGATATATTCCTAATCCTAAATAAAAAAATAAATTAAAAAAATATGAGTAGATACACCACAAATAATGCTCTTGTAATGGTGTTCTTTCTTTGTGTGGTACCAGGGCTTTCCATTCTAGGGTATACGTAGTTCCCCGGCTACTGGTACCTGGAGACCGCGTGCGGTTTTTAGTCGGTTCGAGTCCGATATAACCAAAACACTAGTGGGTGGTATCCGAGGGGAGTTCGGCACAGACCAAAAAAAAAACAAAAAAAAGGTGTTCTGTGTGTAAGTTATTTCAATACTTTAGTATTAAGACTTCATGGCATGGAATCATTCCATACTCGAAATGTTGCCTTTAAAAATTGAATTATAGGAGGCAGAACTTTATTGTACCACATAGTGGTAGATATAACATGTGTGTTAAAATATTTTTTGGTTAAAATAGATAATTGATCCGACGGAGGCTATTGACTGTTTTATCAAATTATTTCCAAACTCAAAAGCTACTCAGGTATTTTGATCTTATTGATATACTGTCTGATCTAAATATAACTAAAGAACAACAAGACACAAAGACTCAAATTTTTTAAGAGCTGTATTCCATGTCAGCATTGATTACATTATTCGATTAAAATATTTTACTTTAATAAATTTAAATTTGGGGGTTTTCTTTAGAATTTAAATGACATTCTTCAATTGAAAGTACGTTACTTTGTAAAGTATCTATTTGATTGTAGGACTCGACTGTTAAATAACACTTAACTATTAGACTAACTCCTTTCGAGACGTAAAATCCATTCTTAATCCATGTTCTTTATATTTATGCTACCCTTTTAACAAACTTCAGAGGTATATATTTTAGTAGAGAATTTAAAGTTAGAAAGGACGACTAGAGAAATATTGAAACTATACGTTTTAGGTGTTGTATAGGTGGTGTTATAAGTGGGCACCAGGGATTTTCTTTCTAGGGTACACCTGGTTCCTCGACTACTGGTACCTGAGACGGCGTGCTGTTTTAGTCGGTTCGAGTCCGACATTGCCACCGGTAAGTGGTATCCGAGGGGATTTCCGCACAGAAAAAAAAGGTGGTGTTATAAGCATCTTCAAAAAATTTAAACAAAAAGAAATAAAAGTAAATAAATAAAGGTTTGCTCTAATCACTTTTCAATAGTAATTAATATCATGTTAGTTGCGTGGTATAAAATTAAGAAAATACTAAACTGATTGTTAACCGTAGGTAATTTAGCATGCATAAAGATATTAACTTAAAACTTAACTTAAAAACTAACTACTTACAGAGTAAGTATATACAAATATAAAATGTTTAAATCACACAAAAATTAAATAAATGTAAGAAATAATACAATAGCATTATAGCAATTATATGAATAACTAACCTTTCCTTTGCTCTTCAATGTGTACACCAACGCCAAAATTAAAAACACAAAATTGGTAGCTAAAATTATACCGGCTATAATCACGAATATCATGTTGAAAATATCTTACAATTCTAACAGTACTTTGTATGACGACGTCTGGTTATTGTATGTCAATCGTTATTAATAATCAAAACAAAAATAGAAGCTGATTAGGTCTTCGACCAAGGAGTAAGTAGTTATTTTTGTAAAGGTGAATACACAATACTTATACTGCAAATAAGAGAGTCATGAGCTCGATAACACATAATTTTTGATAACAAATTCGTCGTCGCAACTGTCTATAGACACTTGTGAGATTAGCGATATCACTACAAATGAAACAAGAATTTTTCAAGTGGGTTCATAAATTACGGAATTCTCAGGTAACAAATATAAAAAGTTGAATTGAGAACCTCTTTCTTTTTATATTGTGACGTAATATCCTATCAAATTGGATGCTATATTAAATAATGCAACGAGAGTAAGGGGAGGTACCGGGCCATCGAATATTATTATATCTGCCGGCAAAACATTACCTAAAGCTGACGGCTGAAGAACGATGGAATAATTATTCACCCAGTTAACCTTCTGAAACACTGTAGAACAAATTATTATAGGCGTGAATTTGCTTAGCCGGAGCAGGGGTAGGCAGCTGCTCTCCTCTTGGTTTCTATATTATATTTACGTATACTACGTATAAAATTTACTAAAGTAATGATTAAGTCAATTTTTTTAAATAGCCTTCGACAAAAAAATTGCCGTATTTAGGTATACACAAATATGTTATTTCCTAACATTATATCTGAATAGTATAATATACTGAATAATACACTTACTCTAAATATGCTTTAAGTTAACCTTATGAAGTGTTGTCTCACAGTTTATTGAAGGTGATTTATACAATTTATTGAGTGTAATTTTCCGCTTGGTACTGAAACTTTCGTTGACGCCCGCTCATCCCGATATAATGAATGTTCCAGACGGGAGTGTGAGGAGGTGGAGACACACTTGTTGCTGTTTCATCGTGTAGATGTGCCATAACAACAGGTTGGTTTCATTTTATATCTCAGGAGACAATAAGATACTCTAAAGAATAATCACTTTAAAATTGATATGTGATAGTTAAACTAAAAAGGTGCTAACGTGATTAATATTTTGATATTCGTAACTATAATGTGAAAATACATTTTGATAATAATTGTTATCGCTTTTAATCAGAGTAAGTTTATTAATAGTAATCTTGTTAGTAATCAATATCTGTCTACAAAAATATTGTCTATTTTATACTAACACAGGTGGACCACCTGTGTTACTACTAAGATTTGAATTTTTCAAACTGTAAATCTGGGAGCACGGCAGTGCTCTCACTGAGTCGAGTAAAACAAACGAATCACATGTCTCACAAACACACATCAACAGCCTTTAATAGTCCACTTCTGTATATAGGTAATCACTTTTAAGAATAATCACTTTAAACTTGATGAGTGATAGTTTATTCTATAAAAATGTTCTAACGTGATAAATATTTTGGTATGAGTAATTTCAATGTGAAATTACATTTTGATAATAATTGTTATCGGTTTTTATCAGAGTAAGTTAATTAACAATAATCTTGTTAGTAATAAGTATATGTTTACAAAACTATTCTTTTTCTATACTAACACAGATGGACTGCCTGTGTTACTACTAAGATTTGAATTTTTTATACTGTAAATCTGGAAGCACGGCAGTTCTTTCACTAAGTCGAGTAAAAAAAAAGTATCACATATCCTACCTATAAACTTACTTTCTTTAAAGACTTTCATACAAATGTGCGAGAGCACTTAGACTAGCACTACATCGGGCCTGGTCACAAAATTTGTTCTAATTATAATACTTAGACGTCTAGGGCTTCTGGTTTTTGTAGCACACAATGAATGATTATTTTATAGCAAAATTTTTAATACCCTACCCTTTTTTTTTTTTTTTTTTTTCTATGCGGAAATCCCCTCGGATACCACCTATCGGTGGCATGTCGGACTCGAACCGACTAAAACCGCACGCCGTCTCGGGTACTAATAGCCGGGGAACCAGGTATACCCTAGAAAGGAAGTCCCTGGTACCCCGACATACCTCGGGTCATCTACAGACGAGTAGACGACCCTCCCCCCGCGTGGGAACCCCATGTTCTCTGTGCTCCCTGGAAGCGAGCGCGCTTCGCAAAGCGCTCGCCGCCACCCCGGCCTGCTTCTGCTAGGGTGACAGATGGCCTCATCTGTCACCCCCAGGCCTGCGCTTATGGAGGACGGAGGTCGTTCTGCGACCTCCGGCGCCTGAGTCGCCTGCGGTACCTGGCCCGTTCCCGCGCCTGGCGGGCCGGGAGAGTCCTAAACCTCTCCCGGTCCCGCTCCGCCGTCTCCTTCGCGAGCATAACTTGCTAGCAGAAGGAGACGGCAGGAGACGCACGATAGCCGCAATCAGGCTATCGAGCGAGAGAACTCCCACTCCGATGGCCGCCACGAGGTCTCGCCTCTGCTCAACCCACGCCGGGCACTCTGCCAGCGTGTGGAGAGCCGTGTCCACGGTCTGGCCATTGCAGTGGTGGCACTCAGGCGTTGGCTCCTTGCGTATCAGACACATGTGATCCCCGAAACATCCTTTCCAAGTGATCACCTGCGTCTGTCGGTATGAGAGGGTCCCGTGACGCCTCTCGAGCCAATCCTCCATAACGGGTCTTACCGCCGCGATGACGGCGTGCCCGGCGCTCGATTGCCCGAGTCGTTCCTTCCACTCCCCTATGATGACCTGGCGGAGTTGGGATTTCCGCTCATCGATTTCTCGAGTCTCGGTACACCGACCCAACTCCCGCGCCTCCTTGCGCCACTTCTACAGAGCCGCAAGGGCTCTCGCCTCCAGGTCCCACGGTGGAGTTCCCAGCTCCTTTGAGGCGGCCAGGAGACTCGCCGCCTCAAAGGAGATCGTGCGGTACCCCCTTGTGATCCTGATGGCCAGCACTCGCTGCGGTCGTCGCAATATCGCGACGTTGCTGGCCTTCAGGGCCCCCGCCCATACTGGGCACCCGTAAAGGGCCATGGACCGCACAACCCCCGAGTAGAGTCTCCTGCAGGAGTCATCGCACGCGCCGCCCCAACCAACTTGGGGACCAGACCTCGGAAATGATATCCGAAGTCCCACCGGCCATCTAGTACGAGCCCCAGATACCTGATCGAGGGCTCGATGCCGATGCGATTGCCTCCTACCGTGCGGCTAGATCCCTCAGACGGCTTCCTCCTGCGGAACACCGCACGACATTTCACGCCTACCGAGACCGGTCCTACTGGGGTAGACGACGGCTCTCTCCGACAAATATGTCCCGACTATGCGGTGGAGGTAGAGAGGCACTTCGTGATACACGAGCGCCTCCCTGATGCAGCTCCAGGGCATAGTGTTGAACGCGTTGGCGATGTCCAAGGACACCGCCAACACCACTTCGCCCCGGGAGACTGCTTCCTCCGCCAGAGCCTTCACGCGCATGATCGCATCCACGGTGGAGCGCCCCTGACGGAAACCGTACTGGTTGTCCGCCAGATCCGGCCCAACCATCACGAGATGCTTGACGAGGCGCCTTGCAATCACTCTTTCAAAGAGCTTGCACACCTCGTCAAGCAACACAATGGGCCGGTAAGCGGACGGTGAGTCCGCCGGGCGCCCCTCCTTTCGGATTAATACCCTACCCTAATAATTTGGCTATCATCTGGAACACTTATTTGTATCTGGGGCCGGAGTGTGCGTGTACGTCAGAGGTGATATCAGCGGTGCCAAAATCAGTACGTAAAGCACTCTTGTCCCTCGACATTCATAAGTCCGTAAATTCTGATCTCCTGCAAGGCTGTTTGCTATCACCCATAATGTTTAATATCAATGACATATTGCAAACTGGTACCATCTATTGCTATTCAGTTGATAGCACGGGAGATGCCCTTTACACCGGCAGCCCCAATATTTCTCGAATCGTCGATAGCCCAAACATCTCCGATTGGCTCGATCCCTTGGCATTACGTAGAAATATGACTTTACTCTGCAGTCTCTATTGCATATATCATGGAGAGTACTTCGAGGCATTGTTAGGACTGATACCAGCCGCAACTTTCCACTATCACTACCAAAATTTCATCCCTATCACCTGGATAGTTTGCACTCCACTACTGTGCGCTTTTCGAGACACTTTTTGCCTCGCACAACCAATCCGTGAAGTGTTCAAACCTTCAAGAAAAGAGCGTACTCCTTCCTAAAAGGCTGAGACTCCTGAGTTGCAGACGTACATGGGCGGCCATGTTTACTTTCCATCAGGTGACTCGTTTGCTCGTCTGCCCTCTCTAAATTTTTTTTTTTGCCTATTTTCTCTCTTTAATGGCTTAAAATTAATCCAATACAAATGACTTATAAATTTATGCAAATCTTGTCTCTCTTTATGATGTTAGTTAGGCTAATCATTTCTGTAAAAATTCAGATAGTATGAAATATTGTTGTGTAAATATCCGTGTGGTGACGGATTAAGAATATGGAATGTCATCGCCCCTATGCATCCCGTGGGTGTCGTAAGAAGCGACTAAGGGAACAAACTACGCAGGACAACAGCACTGCAAAAAGAAGGCAAACTTGAAACAAACCCTATACCAACCCGTCTGGCCAGCGTGGTATAGTAGGCCAAACCCTCCTTTCTAAGGAGAGGCCTATGTTCAGCAGTGGACTAGTAATGGCTGTTGATGATGATGATGATGATGAAATATTGTTAGTTAACTAATTAGGTAGGTAACAATGAAACTGCATTGCGAGACTTCCATTTTTAAATCAAATTAGATTAAAAATATTTTAGAATACATAATATATCAAAAATCAAAAAAGACAATACCAACTTCAATCACATCATGATGAATTGTAAAATAATGTTTTCATTATTTCTTAATTTTCGTTCTTTAGGGATGGAATATTTTCTTGAAATTTTAATGGTACCAAGCGGGAAATATTCATTTCCAAATAAAAAACGAAGTTTCCAAATCGGTTCATGAATGACGGAGTTCTGACGTAACAAA